GTTTCTTAATTCTAGTGCACTTGGCAGTAATATTGCAAAATGCAAATCCTGTACGACGTGTTCTGAGTCAGAGTGGCCCCGTTGGACTGGACACCAAGGTGAACAAAATGCTGTAGTTTTCCACTCAGCAAATGCATCCAAGCATGTTGGTCTACTTTTAGCAGAGCGTTGCCAACGCACGGAGGGTGGATTTCTTTCATCTCAGTTAGACGTATCTAATGATGAGCTCCCTAGTACGTCTCAGAATGAGTTCAGCAAAATACATGAAGAAGGAACTGGAGTATCTCTTGCATGAAGAAATACTGAGAGAGCCAAGGCTGTCCAACCTGGAGAAGAGAAGGCACAGGAGAGATCTTATCAAATATTGATACCTGATATAGGAAACACAGATACATGCTGTAGTGATGGTCAGGTGGGACAGAGTCAATGAGCACACTCTGGAATAAAGGAAAATGCATCTAGATTGAAGAAAATATTCCTTTTTCCTGTGAGTGTGGTACAACCGGTGGAGCAGGTTGCGAAGAGCAGATGCATAGTCTACATCCCTAGAGATTCCAAACCTAGCCAAGAAAAGATCAAGCAAAACTGCTGTGGTTGAGCTGTTCTGGGCAGGAGTGAGACTGGGTGCTCTCCAGGGGTGCCAGCCAGCTTTGGTGCTGCTGCAGTTCTGTTCCCTGGTTCTATCACATAGTGCTAAATTCCCATTAATAGACTTGTTTGAAGATGTAACAGAAGTAGTACTGCCTCTTCAAGCTAAGGACAGCTCAGAAGGTAATAAGTGTCAATAAATTTCAAAATTAAATAAAAGATTAAATGAAATGTGGTCTTCCAAAAGTGTTAAAGTGCAAGGTTCCCATCTAGCTGACATTCCCAAGCTACTTACTGAGACCCTAGATGGCTTTTTTCATCTCTCTATGCTTACACTACAGCAAATCTACAATTGCCTGAAAGGTGTTGATTATACCTATGCATATTTTTCCCTAAGATTTTGGGTTTTCCATCTATATACATAATTCTGTTCTTTTTAAATCTGTGATTCAACAATTCTGTGACTACTTAAAGCATCTTTCCATAGAGGTCCAGATTTCAGTATGGTTTTGATAACCCAGAGGCAAGCCATCTCAGAGAGTGGTTTGTTCACCCATGTTTTCTGTTGGACTTAGAAAAACAGAAACTTGTCACAGCCAGCTCCTTTGTGGGACTGTTCATGTAGAAATGAAATGAGTGGGGGAAAACCAGACTGGGTATAGTGGATGCCCCTATGAACTCTCATTTTACAAAGACAGACTGGTGTACCACAGATAGAACCAACCTGATGTACCTGTTTCATGACCAACTGTACTGACAAGGAATGAACAGAAAATCTAGTCAGTGCCTGAAGCCAAGATTTGAGTGACTACAGTGAGGTACAGATGCACAATGTCAGCTGGTCAGCATGACAATGACATTAGGTCCAGCATTCCCAAAATCTTTGCATGTCTCGGAGTGACTTCTAGGCCCCATCTTGCTTAGGTAAGTATTCACACTCACAGGCTCTGGTGCTACTTAATCAGCTGGCGAATATATCAGTAGGCTTGCCTAGGCAGTCTTTTGCTTATGCTTGGGTGGATTTCAGTTACAATTAGTTTCTACAAAAATTGGGAAGAAGGCCACAACCACTTTCCAACAAAAACTGTTCATTATTCCTATTCTTCCAACTTAATAACTTCATTGAATATGAAGAATTTTTCCTCTCTTTTCCATTGCTTAGTGTGGAAGATCCGATTTATCAGCAGAAACAAGACAGATGTTTCAGTCCTGATCTCATCTAATGGCTGGTGTTCCACTGTCTCATGCCTTGAGCTCAAGCCCATTTTTAACACAGGCTTTGCAGTGAGCCAGCAGTGCTGGTGCCATCAGCTCTGAGAAGTTTGCCCTCAGCAGGAAGCCAACAACCCACACCTACTGTGCAGGTTCTCTTCCCAAGAGGAGGAAATGCAGTGCCTGCCTGAATGGTCCCACATCACTTGAGGGAGAACACTGACACTGCAGCATCTGTAAACTCTACCTCCCCCAGGTGAGCCCCTGCACCTGCTCCTTGCCTCCCAACCAGCCAGTGAGCCAGGCACTGTTTGGAATTCTATCCTCTAGTTCTGTACGCTTCCCTAAACATTCTTTGTCTAAGTACACCTAAGCACTTTTAGTGTTTGGTCATCTCTGACAACAGTACCAGCTAGGTGAAGTATTTTGCAGATCAAATGGGTAAATGCTGTTTGTCCTTCCTTTGTGCTTCCCAGAGCCAACTTTCCAGCATGTGCCACCATCGTGTAAGAAAAGTTGAGGGGATGCAAAGGGAAATGCAATCTGACATCATGAGCACAGCACAAACGTGCATGCTATATCCAGAGAAAGCTGGTGGTTCTGAACAAGAGGTGCAGGCACCCACACGTACACCAAATGCCACAAACACTGTATTTAAGGAATAGGGAGCATAGGATGTTAACAGCTTATATACTGCAAGGAATTCATTGCCTAGCACTGAGCGATTTCTCATGCAGGTCTCACGTCACATTTTTGGCCACAGAGAAAGAGCAATGACTTCTCCTCCCCTTCCTGAGTTTGTACAGCTCCACCAGCACACATGGACAAATCTCTGCTTCTGGTCCAGGGAAACATGCAGCAGACTGAGGGAGGAGAGCTATGCATCCACTGTGAAGATGCATGAGGAAAATCACAAGTAGTCTGCCTGTTCAAGCTAATAATCCTCCAACAATCCTTATACATGTTTTTAACCAACATAAGGAGAACTGATTCAATAGCAACACGCATTCAAGGCATATAAGATGCTTTCAACAGTGTAAGGAGGGCCCAGGTTTTATGAAAGGAAACAAAGTACAAGCGTAAATGGTTAATGAAACAAGAAATGAGCAAGTGAAAGCGGGATGGTGTGGCCAAATGCTGACTCCAGTGAGACTGATTTGTTAAATGAAGCAGGCAAAATTTGTTCCAGTTTCACTTTAACGATCACGTTTTTAAAGTAATAATAGAAATGTCACTCCTCTTCTGATGGCTGGGCTTTAGGCAAAATCATCTGGAACACAGACATAGGTTGTGGGTCTCTTCATGTGTATGTGTACATGTAGGTGTGTGTGTATGCATATGTGTATGCATACATGTGTGTGTATGTCGATGTATGTGTGTATATGCCTCTGTCCACGTCTATGTGTGTGCATGATATAGATAGGTATAGGTTAGTACTTGGTGTATTTTGAGTGCTTTGAGGGTCTTCATCCCTTTAGTTGAACTGGCTCTTTAAAAGGTCAAGAGATGGCAAGTGTTTTGGAGGGCTGTGGTTTTCTGGTCTCTTTTGTAATGATAAATAAAGACAAGTGACTTCCTTAAAAAATATTTCAGATGCAAAATTGAATGGTGTTAGATGTGCTCATTGTCAGGCAAAAAGTAAAATGTGTTTATGGAGGACTAATTACAGTACTTATTGCTTTACTATGTGTTCCTGAACTGTCTTTCATCTGCCATCCTACTTTACTCCAGCAGCTTGAACAACGAAATGATTCATATTTGTAATAACAAAGCAACTCTGATAAAATTAAAACTTATTGTTAGTATGTTATGTCCAGTTCAGCCAAAGAAGGAAAGCTCTGGTGAAAGCAAATTAATATTAAGTGTGAAGAATTTTGCTCCATGTAAAAGCTGCTCAGCTTGGTGTGACTGCCGAACTGACTGATGAGAAGCCCCGGCTCCCAAGCAAGGTCCATCTCCCTCTAACGGCAGCTGAGCAAAAGACAGAGTCTGAGCATGTGAAAAAGCGATTCATTGCATTGGAGATGTGTTTCCAGGCAGGCAAAGTCTGGTCAGTATGAATGATTCTGTAAAGTAAAACTCTGGCTGGTGTCAAAATCCTGTTAAGTTTGTGTTATCGTTTATTATTATTGCCTGAAACAACATGTTTCTTTTCTATTTGTTTTAAAAGACAAGTCATACAAAATTTACACGTGTTAAAATGCTTTTTCTCCAAGCAAAAGGCAGAGCTTGCTGCTTGAACGAGGTGATTGGCAATAGCATCAAGCCACTCATGGGTCTCAGAAAAGCACTCTGGCAAACAATTCACCCCATGCACAAATAGCAGCTTGTCCCCCCACGACACCACTCAGCACCGACACCAAACGTGGTCAGAGATGCAGAGTGAGCAATGCTCGTGTTCGGATTTATTTATAGCAAAATGATCATTCAAGCTGTATGGTGAATGTTGTAAGATCAGAAAATAATAGTGTGCCCTCTCCCTGGTGGTGCTTAAGGCCAGGCTGGATGGGACTCTGCGCAACCTGGTCTACAGGGAGGTGTCCCTGCCTATAGCAAGGGAGTTGGAACTACATGATCTTAAAGGTCCCTCCCAACCCAAACCATTCTGAGTCTAGAGATTTTGCCTAGAAACATCAAATAGAATTTGCCCTTAGAAAATAACAAAAATTGAGAACAACCACAGCTCCCTTCAGCTGACCAAGCAGCTTCTGCTGGGTTGAAATGTTAACAGGAGTAACCGAGGCACCAGCAGTAAGTGGAAATGCCAATGATGAAATACAGGAAAAAAACTCAAAATACCACAAGTTCAGAAAGTTTCCTTTGAGCTCAGTTACAGTGAGAGCTGTAACTCTGTAACCACAGCACCAAGGGCACCTCACTTTCTGGGGTAAATTCTACTGCTTTCTTTCTATTACCCCTGCAAAAGGGCCCAGAATTACAAAACAGAGAGATCATGACTTGACTTCTCACTGGCAATAAGGATTCGGTGCACCATTTTTACAGTCATTCCAATTACCACAGCTCGAGACTCTCAGACTATTGCAGGTCAGAATTAAATGTTTTTAGGATGGAAATATTCTAAGGAGTGAAAACCCAGAGGAACAGCGAAGTCAGCCAAAAGCATCTATTCAAAATAAAAGCATTTATTCAAAAACTGAATTTAAAAAAGAGGATTTTTTATTCAAAAACTCACCCCAAAAAACTCATTATCCCCAAAAGACTCAAAAAAACCAAAAAGCTCATTATCCCCAAACACAGTCTACCCAATAAGTCTTTGCTTTAGGAACAGAAGTTTTGTAGAGAGGTATGGGCTAAGTCAGTCTCTATGCTAGCAAGCACTTCACCTTCAAATTAAGAACAGCAAATTTCAGTTAATAACAGAAGCCTTCCAATTCATACTAGTCTACATGCATCTCTTCCCTTAGGTACTGGAAGGTGAAAGCAGGGTGACCACATAACCCACCAAGATAACTCAGTACATCGGTACCAGCCCACAAAGGAATAGTTGTGTTCTGACAGCAGAGCACACTTGATTGCAAGAGACTAGAGACACAACTAAGATCAGGGGATATTACTGGCAGGGCAAAGAAGATCTGTTTTTGCAGGTAAACTCATTTTATTAAGTGGTCTGGAGTTCTGCTTAAAAGAACACTACAGTCTTCTGTATGTGCCATTTCAATTTTTAAAAATAAATTCACTTTTCTTCTAAAAACATGCATGTTTGTATGAACAACATTTATGTATGCCATTTTGAGAAAAAAAGAAAGAATTACCATTTACAGCAGAAACTCCTCTTTACAAATCTTTTAAGAGAAAAGGTGGGCAGTAGTAATTCTGCAGAAGGCGAAGCACACAAGCTCTCTACACTGATGTTGCAGTTTATTCACTGGGTGACATTAGCCTCTGCACAAGGTCATTTAAGGATGGATTCAACTGAAAACGACAGTGGCTCAGCTGCTGATAGTTTTGTTGTGGCCTGTTTGGGTCCAAAGAAGTCTTTAGTACATTTATCTACAGTAAACTTGTATTTCTGGTTCTCTTTAATGCTGAACTCCCTATATTTCTTAGATGCTTCTTCAAAAGTCTCTTTCATAAACGATGCTCTCAGCTCTGCTCCCGATTTGTCTGGAAATGTCTGCGGGAACAGTGACTGAAATGGACTGTATTTGATAGGTGGAGCGGGCTTGGCCGTGTCTTTGCTGACCTTGCTCAGTGCCTGTTCTTGAGGAGCCAGAGAATCCTTATCGGAAATCTGAGAGAAAGTCCTTTTTGGAGGAGAGAAGGCTGACCTCTCCCGAGCGTCCTGGGGAAGGCACGGCACCTCACTGCATGCGTGCTGGATGTCAGGCGTGTGGGTCAGGAGGAGTGGATTCTCCAGTTTCGGAGACATGATGTCCTGCTCAGTGTTCGGGCACTCCGGGCTTTGTGCCACCTTGGCATTCCAGCCTGTCCCCGGTTTGAGAGCTTGGACAGTGGTAGCGTTCAGCAGGCACTGCTGGTAGAGGAGAGCATCGCTAATGGGGCCACACTTCGGCCACACTAAGAACCTGGAAGGCAGGGGATACTGCCTGTAGGTAGTAGCTACACTGACATTGGAAGAAATAAGTTCCATGTTGCCAGATCCCGAGTACTGCATGGTTAGATCAAGGCACGTTGGTAAGAAATTGCAGAACTCCTTGCCGGGAGCATCAACCTGAGCAGGGCTGAAGGCGGTTTTGTATGCATTGTATTCAGCTCCGTGCACCATGCGGTTCGGGAGGAAGAGGGCAGCTGCTTGTGTAGCTTCCATCATCTCTCTTTCTTTGTACTCTCTTTCTAGCATAATGTTCTCCAACTCTTTATCAGCAAAAGCCCGTCTCTTTCTCATCCTGTCACTTACAGGGGGTGGCAAAGGTGAGTTTCCTCCCAGGTAAGCGTCTGCTGGAATAGGACGATAACCTAAAACAATGAAGTAGCATTAGGAATGGAACCATGCAGGAGAAATATGATAGCTGTGTTTGCACCAGGGGCTCCCGTCAGAGCCTGTCCACCAGGCACGGAGCACGTTCTGCAGACCCTGTGCAGTTCCTACCCTCATCACCGTGCCACCTCAGTTGCCATCCCTGCACCCTCAGGCACATCCTTCCCCACTCCCTGCATGCAGAGAAGCCAGCCCTGCGGCTCTGCCCTGCATTTTTCCCCCAGAGCTAGCTGAGCAGCCATTCACAGTGGCCATTGGAAGCAGCAGACTGAAAAAAGGCAATACCCTGCCATGCATTATGATCAGTACTGAACCGCACGGCTTAATAATGCAGTATTTTTAATAAACATGGTAAACAAGTACTCAAATATTCCACCTACTCAGAACTGAAGTACTACATTAATAAAACAAATATCCAGTGCATTCAGCTAATGTACTAATTTAACATAACTGACAGAGTCCGATCCTGTTTGCTCTACCCAGTGAGGTAATCCTATTGAATTATGGAACTGATTACAAGAGCAAGAAGAGGATTTTGCCCATATTCAGTCCCACTCCTCTCACACAGTTTCCCCATTGCCAAGAAAGATATCTATACCTATAGCTGCTGCCATTCCTATTCTCTAAAGATGAATCACTATGATCATATTGTTACAGATGGTAGAAAATTCCAAGGAGAACTAGGAGAAAAGAAAAAGAAAGTTAAGATAAATACATGAAAAAAGAGATATTTTTTTTTTTTAAGAATGAATTGAAGGAGAAAATTAGAGAAAAGTTTAACAGGACAGAACTGTACACACACAGGCAAAGAAAAGAGCTTTCTATTAAAAAATAATAGCAATAATAAAAAGAACTTGATGATCATAATGCTACAAGGCTACAATTTGGAAAATAATTAAAGCAGCCACAGACATAAATTGGGGCTTGACCCGAAGAGACAGAGAGAACTATAATATATATATGCTCATTAAGACATGGATCTTTCCAACGTCTTGTTTCTGCAGCTGACATTTTCAGCAGGAAAAAAAATCCGAGCAGCCTGCAGTGCCTATCTCACCATTGGTAACGCAATAAACAGAGCTGCTGTGTTAAGCTTTCTCTTCAGAAAGAAAGCGGTTTGATTTACTCCTTTGCTGATGGATACGGCCGCAAATGAGTTGCCCGGCACCGCAGAACACGGCTGGGTACTCATGTAAGAAGAATGTCGGCTTGTAACACTAACTCTCAAATTTCAGATTACCGCCGCTAACATTTCAGGCATTATTTGAGGGGGGAACTGAGGTCCTGCCGCGCCGATTCCACCCACGCAGAGCGGGAGCCGCGGAGGAGCCCGACGGCACCGCGCCCCGGCGGCGCAGAGGCCGCTCCGCGTTACTTCGGCTGAGGCAGCCCCGCCGACTTCAGCCGCACTCGCGGCTCGGCGTCGCCGGACCTACCTTCCAAGATGCTCTTGGCCAGCAGGCTGGGCGTCCGGACGTGCCTCTGGTAGACAGCTTTGCGCTCCAGGCTCGCTTGTTTCCCGGCCAGCCCCTTCTTGTCCTAGGAGAGCGGGCGGGCGGCGCCGTCAGCCGGGGCCACCCGCCCCGTCCTGTCCCGACCCGACCTCCCGACCCGACCGCTCCGCCTCACCTCGGTGGCCTGCTGCCGGCGCAGTGCCACCTGCGCGGCCATCACCCGCTGCCGCTCCACCACCAGCAGGCAGTTGGCGCACTGGCAGTCGCGCCAGCGGCAGAACCGCTTGTGTCCCTTCAGGCAAGACACCACGCCGTGGTTGCGGCACCGGGCGCACTTGGGCGTGCGGCTCAGCTTCCGCGGCTCACTGCCGCCGCCCCGCCGTCGGGCCGCCGTCGCCTCCTCTTCCTCCTCCCTTGGAGCGCCGAGGCCCTCGGTCGCTTCCCCCTCCAGGCTCTCCACGTCGATTTCCCACTCGCCAGCGGCGCGTCCTTCGGACATGGCTGCTCCACGCCGCAGCTGCAAGAGAAGGGTCAAGCTACCCGCCCGCGGTCGGACAGGCACGGCGCGAACCGCCAGATGCCTCCCTCCGCGCCCCTTGGTCCCGTGCCCCGGAACCCGCGGGGCTCCCCTCAGCTTCCTCGACGGCCGCTGCCCCGAGAACTGCGCGCCGGCCGGAGCGCGTCTGCCGCGGGGAGAAGGGCGGGGAGAGAGCGGGAGGAACAGCCCCGGCACGGCCGTGGGATGACAGCACCCGCCGGCTCCCGCCAACCACGTACGGCGGTGCTGGAGCTCCACTGCCTTTGCACTCGGGAAGCGATGGCTCCGAACTCCCATCCTCACCGCCGCCGAGGCTCTTACCCGAGTTCGGTGCCCCAGGCCGGCAGGCTAAGCGCCGGGCTCCCGCGACCCACGGGGCGCCACGCCGTCCAGTGACACCGGGGGGTTCTGGCGGGTGCGGGCAA